CTGTTGAATTAATACAGTTATACAATATTGAACGCAGTATAAACCCTGTAAGACATAAGATTGAATGAGTTTTTAACCTTTAAAAAAAGATCTCCATTTCATTTAGAATATATTGTGCCTTGCAGAAAGACTCATTATTTTTGCTACCAACACTGAGATGTTGGCACATGCATCTCTAATCTGTATGTGTCTGATTATTACTAGTCATAATCGGTTGTACTTGGATCGTTGGAGCCTGTGTATGTTTATAAAGTCATCGGGTAGATTTCAATGGTAATGTTTATCACCTCTACTAATTAACATGACATAAATTTCCATGCTTCCTTCTCAAATATAATACATTTTTAAAAATTTGTTGATTTTTTTTGTGTGTATATCACACAGAACATCCCAAACCATCTTATTCAACTATACATCCACTTCCCAGATATCACCTCCCATAGCCTCCCTCCCCCCACTACAGCCCTTATACTCTGATATCCCTGCTACTGTCTGCTGTGTTGTCGGCACCCCCAGCCATTCCCCACTACTTGCCCTTCTGGTGAATCTAGTCAGCCTATCTAGAAGTCTTTGTTTCAAAAAGGTCAGCTGTTCCTCATCTAGCAGCAATCAGTTGTTAATATTCCTTTAGATAAGATTGGGGTCTGCTGTTCATTTTCCTAGTTCTATGCTGGGTTAGTATCTGGCAGTCCCTTTGGCCACCCTGGCCAACAACTCAAAAGAAGGTATCTCCTATCTGACATTGTTGCTTGTTATGTAGCCTTTAGCTATACATACGGACTCTTAAAAAATTATATTGGCCTCTTTAATCTTTGGTTATACTTTTCTTTTGGGTGTTTAAGGCCATATAGTTGGCCCAGATAAACCAATTTATTTTTACTCTTAAGGTAGATAAATTTTTAAACAAGTATAAGTAATGTAGAGTATAAGAAGTCTGGGGAAAGGAAGCAGCAACAAACATGTGACGATTCCTAAAAAATTGCCTTCTCTTTCTTTTGTATGTGTATTTACCAGTGCACATGTAGTGTATGTGTATACAGATGTTCATATGCCCACAGAGGCCAGAGGATGACACTGGGTATCTTTTACTATTGCTCTCTACCTTATCTCTTGAGACAGGACCTCTTACCAAACCCAGGCTCACCAATTTGCCTGCCTGGCTGGATACTGAGCTCCAGGGATCACCTGTCTTACCCCACAGGCAGTAATGTTACAGAAGTGTGCAACCATGCCCAACTTTTTATATGAATTCTAGGGATCTGAACTCAGTCCTCATCTTGCATGGTAGGCACTTTACCAACTAAGCCATTTCCCCTGCCCTATTTTCCCATTTCTTGACCTGAATGATGATTATATTTTCATTTTGTTGTAATTCACGAAGATTCACACTTATCATTGGTGCACTTTTCTATATGTCTAGTTCAATAAAGAAGTTCCAGGAATAGAGAGCTTGTGTAATATGCATGCAGTCAAGTTCCATCTCTTGCACTGAGAGACAGAGAGAGAGAGAGAGAGAGAGAGAGAGAGAGAGAGAGAGAGAGAGAGAATGTTTCAAATCAAGGCTCACTACCTACCCAGCAAAGGGTAACCCTCATGTCTGTTGCAGCTGATGTATGTCATGCCAAACATGCTAAAGAGAAGAAAAAAAGAAGTTAGATTCAAAATGGAAATACTAAAGCAAGAGTGACTAGTTCTAAAGCCTCTTTTCCAGTCTCTAACAAGTCTTTATTCCCTGTCTCAAGGGCTGCAAATGCCAAGAGGGGGAAGAGGGGAAGGTCTAACTTGTAACAGAGTCCAAACAACTGCAGTACCAGCAGATAGTACAGCACCTGGCATATTGTTCCATAAATGCCTGCTGAACCTCACGTGGTAGACAAGAACCCTTTCTGGGGAGAATGGATACCCAGCAATCTTGGATGTGGTACAGTCTCACATCCTGGAGACATTCCATGAACTACTCAAACAAAAATAGCTCGCCTCTGCTGAGCACATGCTATGTGTCTAGCAAGTTTCAAGTGCTTTACAGATGCCATTGCCTTTAATTCTGGCCAAAATAAAGACTATTAAGAAGTACTGCTTTTGTGTCGGGGCTGTAGCCAGGTGGACAGAGAGCTTGCCTAGCACACAGGAGGCCCTAGGTTCAACTCCCCATGCTTAAAAAAGAAAACACACAAAACAAAGTAAAATAGGAAAAAAAAAACCCACTACTGCTATGTCCACTTTATAAGTAAGAAAATAGAGGTACAGAGAGTTTAACTTCAACATCCCACAGCTAGTGGTGACAGTGTCCAAGAACAGGCCAGGGTGTGCGTGTCTTTTATGTGGATTTTAGTTTGGACTGCTTCCTTCCCTATACTGCCATGTTGCTTTGCTGCATCTCTTCTGTAGCACATATCAAAGTTGCTCTTGTACAACTAAATTTGTATATGTTTTACATGTTCAGGGCAGGAACCACGCCCTGTTCACATCGGCTTGCATAGCTCTATACTCTTCCTGCAGAAGTGGCACAGAAAAATCATGAAGAGTGCAGGCTTGTGTGCTAGTTGTCTATACACACTGACCCACTTCTTCACCCATACCTATGCCCTTTGCCGTCTAACTTGGAAGTATCTTCCTGTTCTGGGTTCATCCTGGTAAATGTGTTGTCCAATCAGATGTCAGAAATCATGAGACACAGAAAGAGGTTTGAAAAATGCTTGTGTATTGGACCAGCTCTCTTCTTCTGCTATTAACCATGATAACTTCCCTGGCAGAGGATGTGACACATGGAGCCAAACTGTTCCAGTTGTATAGGTCAGATTACCTTAGTTATCTCAGCTGTGGTGATCTTGGATCAGCCAATAACCTGCTGAAGCCTAGGCATGTGAATAAGCAAGGTAAGATCCAACTGAGCCAAGGTCAATGTCACCCTTATATTCATGGGGAAAAATGTAGCTCAGTGGTAGAATACTTATCATGAACAAGGCCCTGGGTTTGATCCCCAACACCATAAAACAAATGTTTCTTGTTTTATACCACTATTTGTGGTTGCCTGTAATGCTGTGTTACTGTGGCACTTTAAATCTTGGCTCCTGTGTTTAACTAGAGAGAGAGATGACCACAGATGAGTCATTTTATAGCATTTAATTTTTTTTTTCCTTTTTTTGGTCTTTTTGAGACAGGGTTTCCCTGTAGCCCCCAGCTGGCCTGGAACTTGCTTTGTAGACCAGGCTGGCCTTGAACTCACAGAGCTCTGCCTGCCTCTGCCTCCTGAGTGCTGGGATTAAAGGTGTATGCCACCATACCCAGCTATAGCATTTAAATTTATAAAATGGAGATAATGATTTTTATTTCAAACAGTCAGCCATAAGAATAAATTGTACATTTTGAGATAAAATGAATATTTAATAAGGGATCACTTAAAAATGATCCTTATCCATTCATTTAGTCCATCAGCATTTTATGATGACCCACTTGGGCCAAGCAGAGTGCTGAGCCCCAGAAATACAAAAGTGAACAGTAAGGGCTCCCTGAATGAACTTCAGCCTTGGTTTGTTAACTGATTCTTTAAGACCTAGACTCTAGGGGCTGGAGAGGTGGCTCAGCAGTTAAGAGCACTGACTGATCTTGCAGAGGACCTGGGTTTGATTCCCAGCACCCACATGGCAGCTATGAACCATCCTTAACTCCAGTTCCAGGGAATCTGACACCCTCTTCTGACCTGTGAGGGCACTGCACATCACAGGTGCACTTACATACATACAGGCAATAAACTCATACATATAAAATAAAAATAATAAAAAAAATTTTTTTTAAAGACCTAGACTCCAGTTTGTTCACAGAGTAACAGTTTTCAATTTCCCATGTTGTTCATTCATGCACAATTCATTCATTCATCATTATTGCAGGCTTACTGTGTGCCAAACACCAGGGATATAAGAGTGAACAAAAGGTAATCAGCACCAATTTTCACTGAGCTCCCAATGTAGCAAGTAAAAAGCCTATCAAGTCAGTAATTGTGATATAGGGGCTGGGGTGCAACTCAGAGGTAGAGCATGTGCTTAGCATGGGTGCTTACCATGTGCTTAGCATGGGCGAGGCCCTGGGCTCCATCTCTAAAACCAATAAATAAAAAAATCTGTGATGTGCAATGAACAGCCTGTGTTGTGTCTAATAGAGGTTGGGGAGTGCCGAAGCCACCTTCACAGAGTAAAAAAATCTTGAACTAGATTTTAAAAATGAACTGGGAAGAGCGCTGTTGGGGACAGTTCAGTAGACACTCCAGATGAGGGAGTGCAGGAGAAAGAGAAGGTGGAAGGGCTCTCTCGTATGTTATTACAAAGAATTTGAATCTTAACATAAAGAATGTAATTAGAAGCTGTTGAACAATTTTAAGTCAAAGTGTCATCCACACATTGAAGCTGGGCTTTTAGAAAATGTGATTTTTCTAAAGACTTATAAAAGGAAGAATTTGTAATCCTCTTTTAACCCCCTCAACTCTGGGTACACAGTTATCATCATCAGTAGGTACTGAAAGATGACCAGGTCCATCTGGCAAACACTGACATGAGGGGACTGTCTGTTCTGCAGACACAACATCTGAAGAATTCCCTCAGCCCCTCAGGCCTAGAGGAAGAATGCAGCATTCCATCATGCTGTAATACTAGTAGGATGCGGGAAAGATAAGGGAAGTCTCAAGTCTGGACCTGCATCTGGGAAGGCATAGATTTCAGTTTCATGAAACAGCTTTGAATCTCAAATGGGGGAACCAAACACTTTACTATCAAAATTCTCCCCGTTACTAGAAAACACAGAAAAACCAATGCCCATACTCACACTTTCTCATTAAGGCCCAAACACTGATAGACTGGTCCGGAATCTGCAACACCTTTCATAACTTTCTTTGGAAGCTGTTTAAAAAAGTAGGCTGGTAGGTTGCTGCCATCATAGGTGACAGAGTCACAGGTTATGATGCCTGGGTAGTACATCATCATCCTGGCAGCTATGTTGACCTTCTGACCAATGACTGCAATGGGGAGGAGAAAGTCAGAGTAGAAAAACAAGAGCTGTTTAATTCCAGGTAACCAGAGGATACTCTTCAAACGGCACCTTGTCCTTTATTTCTTCTGCCTCTCATGAATGGTACATGAGTTCAGCCTTTTACTACATAGTCAGCCAGTGACTATTTTAAACAATCTTCAATTAATTCAGTTAGCCATTAGCAAAGTTTCTGCCTCACCTGGGAGATAGTCTGTCTCACCATGATGATAGTCAGAGATGGAAAGGCCTCAAATAGAGAGAGGGGTTTGTAAGAGGGATGGCCACAAGCCTGAGGGCTCTTGGGTAAGATGTTGCTGGTCCTCTTCAATGAAGTGGACAAGCATAGGATTGGTCTAGAGGAAGTGACCCTAAATGAGGCACAAGACTATCGGGGGGTAGTGCTAGAGAGATGACTCAGTGGTTAAGGGCACTAGGTGCTCTTGCAGAGGACCCAGTTTCAACTCCCAGCACCTACATTGTGGCTAACAACCATTGGTAACTACAGTTCCAGGGGATCTGACGCTCTCTTCTGACCCCCACAGGCATTGCACAACACAGGCGCACTTACATACATGCAGGAAATACACTCATACACATCAAAAAAATAAATAAAATAAAGAAAAGATTGTGTATGTATGCTGAATGACCCCTTCATTTGGTAATTTGGTTTTGGTTTGTTTTGAGACAGGGTATCACTCTGTTGCCCAGGCTGGCCTTGAACCCCCAGAAATCCATTTCTAAGGTTGCACAACCTCCCAAAACAGTGTCACTAGCTGAAGACTACGTCTTCAATCACATGAGCCTATAGGGGACACCTTACATCCAAACCACAATCCCTCCCTTCAGGTATTTTGTTACAGCAATGAAAATTCTTATTAGCACACCAATCACTGTCATAACAAACTCCACTTTCCCTTTCTAATGTGTGTGCTCTCTCTGAGTCATTTCTCCTCCCCAGTTTATCTCAAATGCCAGGAATGCTGAGGCCTGCAGACAATCATCTCAGGGCAGGAACCAACCAGTATCCATTTCCCTGATGCCAGAAGGGCTCTGCTGGCAGACACATGATGAGCCAGACTACAGTTTGGTCGGTACTAACTGGCTCCATGTATTTCATTCCTCTACCCCTTGTTCTTCCTCTGTGTAATACTAGATCTATTATCGATACCTAGAAGACAGGGCTTGGGAAACCAGATCCCCTGTTCCTTCTGGGTGTGGCTATACTAAGTAAACCCCTTTCTTACTTCACCACCCCTCATCTCTCTGCTGATTACATCATCTCAGGGAGTGACCAGAGCTGGCCTGTTGGGACCTCTGGGGACAGGCCTTCTGGCTGAGAATCCTAAAAATACCTCCAGTGATTTTGTCCTTTCTATACTCACGGCACCAGAAACACACACTCTACATGCATGGCACTGCCAATGGGCAAAGCAACAAAGCTCTGCTCCATCCAGAAGATGATAAACATCTCACCCACAAAGCCTGGCATCATAAACTGTGTTTGTAGAAACAGCCCCACGCACCTGTGTACTCATGTCTCACAGTGTGTCCAACGATCCCACAGAAGACGATCCCGCTGGCAATGCCAATGGAGACAGTACTGGGGGGAGGTAGGGAGAGAGAGAGAGAGAATGAATAGAGGAGAGAAAGATAGTGAGCATAAAAAAATGGTGAACACAGAAAAAATAGTAAGAGCAAGAAAATAGGACAGGAAGGCAAAGGGAAGGTATTTCAATAAACAATTCTATGCTTTATACTCAGCTTAGAGCAATTATACATGGCCTAGAGATGTGAAGGAGGGAAAGTTTGAGGCACTGAACTAAGCTCTTAATTATTCTCCTTCTTTCCAGTTTTCTACACCCCTACCCTCTGTTCCTTTAAGAGGGCCAGGGACCACTGGGTGGAATCAGGGTTGACACTCACTGGATTTTGTGGACCTGAGAGCAGAAGTCAAATATATCCACAGCACTTTTCAAAGCACGTGCCATCTCATCAGGTGCTTTTTGTCCAGGGAAACCAAAGACACAGAGGAAGGAGCAACCCTGTAAGTGGGAGAGTCAGAAAACACAGCTGGTAGACACAGCATCAACGCGGACCAGCCAGCAGGCCCAAGCAAGGGTCACAATGATTTGCACTTGAACCAGGTTCCATTCTGGTTGTTTTCATATCTATTTTTGTTGTTGCTATTTTATTTTTCTTTTTATGTATATGAGTGTTTGACCTGCATGGATGTAAGTATACCCATGTTATGTAACATCTTCAGAGGCAAGAAGAGGCATCAGATCCCCTAGAACTGGACTTATGGATGGTTGTTAGTCCACATGTGGGTGCTAGGAACCAAATCTGAATCCTCTGCTAGAGCACTCAATGATTTTAACTGCTAACTCACTATCACATCTATTTTATGTTTAGAAAATGATGTAACTTCTAGTGCATCCGCAGTAATGGGGCTCCAGCCTTCAAGAAGAGCTTGCCTTTTCTTGAGAGGTAGTGACTTGTGCTAAGCTGTTTATGTGCATGCCTGTCTGCTCTCTCCTGTGGCCAAGGCCTTAGACTTCAAGGTGAGTTGTTGAAGTCGAAGAGGCAGTAGAGAGCAGTGAAAAAGGAGCCAGCTCTGGAATCAGAAATTGGGTTCTCAGCTGCAAGTGTAGTTCAGTGGTTGAATACATTCTTGGCTTGCTCCCTAGGTTCAATCCCCAGTATAAGGAGAGGGGGACTACTAGAAGGCAGTCCCTTTGGGGAGATTAGTTCTTCTGCACTGCCTAGAAATTTGCCCCCTGGCTCAGCAAGGTGAGCATCAACTCTGACAGCAATAAATAGCACCTCTCCTCTGTCAAGTGTTGACTGTGACATGGACATGGCATCCAGTGCTTCACACATATTAATTAAAACCTTTAATATTTGTTTGGGATAAATCCTTTCACCATTCAGAGGAATAAGATGGAGTTGGCAGTGTAGCTCAAGAGGTCGAACTTAATGTGTATGAGGCCCTGGGTTCCATCCCCAGCACTGGAGGGTGTGGGACCAATGCTCAAAGAAATATGCTGATTTACTAAAAGACACAAATTTGTTGGATCCATGTCTGCAAGACACTGAAAAGTATTCTTTGGACTAGCGTATCTAGTGCAGTGATAGAGCACTTGCCTAATACATGCAGGGCCCTGGATCCTTCTATAGCACCTGATTAAAATAGTACAATACCCCCTTCTCACAAGTTGAATAATGATGAGTAAAATAAGACTATTTTATTAATTCTTTGCTTTTTATGACTTCATGAATGAATACTGAAGAAGGTACTGGGGACTATGGGCTGAAAATAGTCACTCCCTTGGAGCTGTCATAGCAACTAGAACGCATGCTTTCTGCATAGCTGTGTGGCAGTGAGTGTGAGTTACTCGTTTCTCTGTGTTAGCTGTCATCCTGTAATGAAATGCCCAACAGATGCTTACTGAACAGGTGTGTGAATGGAAGTGGCATTCATAAGTAAGTACTTGGCTTAGTTTTCATTGCTTAGTTTGTTTTTGTTGTTGCCTTTGAGACAAGGTCTCTTTAGTAGTCCATTTTGGCCTGGAACTTGTAGTCTTCCTGCCTCAGCCTCCCATGTGCTAGGATGACAGGCATGCACCACCATGCCTGGGTAGGTGCTCTGCTCTTGAGAAACAACACACCTGATAACAGGGAATCAATTCTAACACTTCTACCATCATTTGCTTGCCAGAGATTTCTTTGAACTGATAAGAAAAGATTAAGAAGTCTTAGGACTTGGAGATGAACCATCTCCTCCCCACTAAGGATGAGCATGACAGTGGAACAGGGAGTATTGGTATGACAGGGGGGAATAAGCCTTTGGGTGTGAGACATAATAGATGCCTGGGACATCTGAGGACATTTATTATAGGGTAGACACAGTGAGAGGTAGACATGCATTGTGAGCACAGAGTAGGAAGGCAGACCACCTGGGTCTGAATCCCAAGTCTCCTGCTTACTACTACTGATGATCATGAATAAAACTAAATCTGATCTTGTCTCAACAGTCTTATCCACCAAATGCCATTAGAGGCACGAGGATAGCTGCTGCTTAGAGTAGTCATAAGTTGGGGTCAGGAAAGATGGCTCAGAGACTTTGCTGGCCATGGTGGCACATGTCTTTAATCCAAGCACTCAGGGGATCTCTGTGAATCTGAGGACAGCCATTTCTACATAGCGAGTTCCAGGTCAGTCAGGGATATGGAATGAGACCCTCTGTGTGTGCATATATATATATATGGATGACTCAGCAAGTAAAGGTATAGGGGAATTCAGATGGTGGAAAGAACAGTCTTCCACAAGTTGTCATCTGATCTCCATGTCATGGCACACATGTGCATGTATGGAACACATGTACACATACGTGATAAATTGAAAAATGAATTTTACAAATTTTTTTAAAGAGGGGCTGGAGAGATGGCTCAGCTGTTAAGAGCACTAACTGCTCTTGCAGAAGACCAGGGTTTGAATCCCAGCACCCACATGGTGGCGAACAACCATGTATAACTCCAGTTCCAGGGGATCTGATGCCCTCTTCTGTCTTTCTCAGGCACTGCACCACACAGGTGCACATGCAGACAATACACTCATACACATAAAATAAAAATAAATAAATCAAAATTTTTTTTTCAATTTTAAAGAGGGGCTAGACAGATGTCAAGTGTTAAGAGCACTAATTGCTCTTGCAGAGGACCTGGGTTAGGTTCCCAGCACTCACATGGCAGCTAACAACTCTAACTCCAGTTCTAGGGGATCCAATGCCCTCTTTTGGCCTCTATGGGCATTGGACCCATGTGGTGCATTACGTCATGCAGACAAAACACTCATACACATAAAATAAAAATCAAAAAAGATTTTTAAAAAGTTAGTCATAAGGCTTAAAGGAATTAATCTAGGTAAAATATCAAGAACAATGCCTGGCACATTGCCATATATAAACTTTATGAGGACTGGAATTTCTAGGTTAACTGTCCAATTGTCTATTCCCTCTACATCACAGATGTCCCCAGGAGAGCTAGCCTCACACTACTGGCAGGTTTCCCTTTAGTTCACATTTACCTTATCAAACATGAAGACCTTATTAATCTGGCCTTGGAAGACCTTAAGGACAGAAATGATGTGCACACAGGCATCTTGGATTGCTGAACCTATGACTTCTGCTTTGTCTTGTTCTTCAAACATCAAGTTCACAAACACAATAGTCACTGGTCGAAGCTCAGATAAATAACCTGAAAGGTGCTTCTCGTAAACCTGCAAGACAGAGGGCAGCTTTCTGTAGTGTGTCTTAGGCAATGGGTCCTTCCAGTACCACCCTACCCCCATACCCAAAGTTGTAACTGGGAAGAAAGCCTTTTGAGACTCCAGGGCAAATGAAGCTATCATGATGTGTGAGGTACAATCCCATAGAGCCAGCATGCCTGAAAATGAACAGATAGAAATGGAGCACATTGTCCAAATCTGTTCCACTGATTCCCCAGCCACACACACACACACACACACACACACACACACACACAGAGAGAGAGAGAGAGAGAGAGAGAGAGAGAGATACAAAGAGACATATATACACATAGACACAGAGAGAGACAGAAAGACACATATAGACACATAGACAAATACAGACACACATATAGACACAGACACACATACACACACACCCCTCTTCCTATGTCAATCTTTAGTCAGCAACTCCTCCGTCACCCAGCAACAGCTCCCTCATGCTAATGTGTCCTGTGATAAGAACTATTTCCTTTTAATCTCTTATTTTTACAACATAGGTAGAAGAATAGTATGCTATGTACTTTCATAGCCTTGTGGCTTCTGGTATATTTTTATATTCTATCCCACTATTTTCAGATAGAAAATTTTAAAGTCAAGCCTGGAGTGATGCCTCAGCAGTTAAAAACACTGGCTGCTCTTGCAGAAGACCCAGGGCTTGGTTCCCAGCACTCACATGACAACTAACAACTGTCCCAAATGCCAGTTCCAGGGGGTCTGACACCCTCTTCTGACCTCCGAGGGCACTGCACATCATAGGTACACTACATACATGCAGGCAATACACTCAAACACATTAAATAACTAAACAAATAATTTAAAAATCAACATCAGTACTCCCATTTTACAGATCAGATAATAGAGGCATGGAGAAGAAACACAATTTTTCCAAGGTTATATGATGGGGGGGAAAGCAAATTAAGACCCTCATTCCAACATTCTGTCTAACACATGCCTCTTTGGGGTATATATTTTTTATTGTTTTATTTGGGTTCCCTCTTCTCTCCACACCTATCTTATGACAGGCATAGGAAGAAAAAGAAGAGTAATCCCAAATTAGCCCTGGCAACCATTAACCTCGAATTTTGTTCAATCAAGTGCTTTGTAAACCAGTGAAGGAAAGTCATTGTTAGTGGATAAACATCAGATTCTCCACTGACAATGTGAAAAACATCTTGTAGAACAAACAGGGAATTGGTACAGGGAATAAAGAGGCCATGCTTCTTAACTGCCTAGGCTAGCACTGGGATTGGGTTCATTTAATTTCATTCTTTTCATTAAAAAAAACGTGATTTCTAACCAACCAGTGCAATGAATTTTTTTTATTTTTCAAATACATTTACAAATAATTTACCAAAAAATTATCCTGGCTCACTTAAAAAAAAATATGTGGGGCTAGAGAGATGGCTCAGTGGTTAAGAGCACTGACTGCTCTTGTAGAGGACCCAAGTTTGATTCCCAGCAACCACATGGCAGCTACAAACCATCCTTAACTCCAGTTCCAGGGGAATCCAAAGCCCTCTTCTGACCTCCACAGCGTTGCACGACATGGGTGTACTTATACACATGCAGGCAATACACTCATACATATAAAATAAATATAGTATTTTTTAAAAATATGTGTTTGAGTATTTTGCCTGCATGTATGTAAGTGTATCTTGCACATGCAGTTCCCGAGGAGGTCAGAAGAGGGTATCAGATCCCTTGGGACTGGAGTTTTGGATCGTTGTTGGCTGTCATATGGCTGCTAGGAACTGGACCCTGGTCCTCTGGAAAAGCAGTAAGTACCCTTAACTGCTGAGCCATCTCTCCAGTCCCCTCAGTTCACTTTTTAAAAAAGATTTATTTAGCTTCCTGTGCCTGCTTGAAGATGTGAGAGCTTAGCTTCTGCTCCTATTCTAGCCACTTCTGCCGCCATGCCTCCCTGCCATGATGGACTCTTGCCCCTTTGGAACAGTAAGCTAAATAAACTCTTCCTTTCAGAAGTTCCCTTGGTCATGGTGTTTCTATCACAGCAACAGAAACTAAACTGGTACAATAATGTGGTGGTTTGAATGGGAATGTTCCCCATATGCTACAAGTATTTGGACATTTTGTCCCCAGTTGGTGGTACTGTTTTGGAAGGTCTTAGAAGGTGTGGCCATGCTGGAGGAAGTACATCATTGGAGGTGGGCTTGGAGAATTCTGAAGCCTTGCTGGATCTCCAGTCACTCTCTGCTTCCTTTGTCTTCTTGAAGATTTGAGAACTTAGCTTCTGCTCCTGCTCCAGCCACCTCTGTCACTATGCTGCCCCATCATGAACTCTTGCCCATTTGGAAATGTAAGTTAAATAAAATCTTCCTTTTATGTTTCCTTGGTCATGGTATTTTATCACAGCAACAAAAAAGTAACTAAGAAAAATTGGTACCAGGATTGTGGGGTATTGCTATGACAGACCTGACCTTGGTATTGGGGAGAATTGTGAAAGCTTTTGGAACTTTGGGCTGGAAAAGTCATTGACTGCACAGAGTTTGTTGCTGTGGAACTTGGAACAGTTAGGCTGAAAGAGCTGTGGACAATGGAGGCCTGACTTGTGACACTTCAAAGGGAAATGGAGACTATCAGGGCTGTTTGTGTGATATCTTGAGAATCTGTGAGTTTTGGTCAGCTGGGACTAAAGAATCAGCTGTGATTAAGAAGAGACCAGAACCACTGAAGTGAAACTTTTGTTTTACTGGGGCAATTGATGGTGTTTAGCTGGGACCGAAAAATCAGCTGTAAGTAACAAGAGACCAGCATCACTGTGGCAAAATCTTCTGTGAAGTATTCCCTCAGTGTCAGCACATAAAAGCTATGATCTAGAGGAGGCCCAAGCATTCATCTCAAGATGGAAGCAGGACTTGATGTGTAAGGGTCTCATGCATGGTTCTGGTGTTGAAAGTGTGAAGGGGTCACAAGAGAGCAGCTGAGGCTTGTTATCCTGAGAGGCCAGGAAAGGTAATTGATGAAAGGGCAGCCTCAGTCCCAGTGAAGACCCAAGGATTGAAGGGGTCATGGAGAGAATCTGAGACTCTGTACCCTGAGAGGTCAGAAGAGGACATTGGTGAAAGTACAATCTCAGTTTCAGTAGGGACCCCAGCTTCTTAGAGATGCCAGGACCATGGGATGACCACTGAGGGCAGCATTAGGTGTGGAATAGAGCTGGTCTGGGTTTGCAAAACGAGTTGTGTGTGCTGTAGACAGCAGAGTCAGAGAAGTAGAACTGCCAAAATCCTTTGGAGCCCAGAAGATTGTGAGGGAATCCCAGATGTTCAACCTTGAGCTACTTTGCTGGACTTAGGTTTTATTTAGGTGTGCCCAATTCTCTTTTGAAATAAGACAGTACTTGTTTTGAATTTTACAGGATCCCACAGTTAAGAGAATTTTAGAAGAGACTATGGCTTTTTTTTTTTTTTTTTTGTCTTTTTCAGACAGGTCTCTCTATAGCCCCAGCTGGCTTGGAACTCACTATGTAGACCAGACTGGCCTTGAACTCACAGAGATCCATCTGCCTCTGCCTCCCATGCCCAACATAACTGTGGTGTCATGCATTTGGTATTTTTTAATTTTTGGGATGAGTGCTGGGATCAAAGGTGTGTGCCACCATGCCTGGACAGACTATGAACTTTTAAGAGTTAGGATTTTTAAGGACTGTGAGACTTTTAAGGTTTTACTGTCTTATGTTGTGATGCTGTTAACATCATATCTTAGAGACAAGAAATGGAAAAGTTGTGGTTTAATAGTGATGTGTTTGTGTGTCAAGTTGATGAGGGGTCAACTGTGCTGGATAGCTTCAGTTGTCATCTTGACACACCTGGGTAGAGGGAGTCGCTACTGGGGAACTGCCTCCATTGGACTGGCCTGTGGCCATGTCTGTAGGGTATTTTCTTAAGTTTTGAGTGATGTGAGAGAGCCCAGCCCATTGAGGGTGGTGCTACCCCTGGGCAGGTTGTTCTGTATTGTATATGAAAGCAGACCGAGCATGGGCCAGAGGAGCAAGCCAGTAAGCAGCATTCCTTTGTGGCCTGTGCTTTAGCTCCTGCCTCCAGGTTCCTGCCCTGCGTTCCTTCCTTGGGCTCCCTGATGAACTGTGACCTGGGAGATGTAAGTTAAATAAACCCTTTCCTTCCCCCTTTCCCCCCAAAGACTTATTTTTATTTTATGTGTATGAGATTTTTTGCCTGTATGTCTGTATGTGCACCACATGCATGTAGTGCCTTTGAGGTCAGAAGAGAGCGATGGATCCCTGGGGACTGCAGTTAGAGACATTTCTAAGCTGCCAGATAGTGCTAGAAACTGAACCCAGGTCCTCTACAAGAGCAACAAATGCTCTTAACCACTGAGTTATCTGTCTAGACACTCTCTTTGCACTTTTTGAGACAAGGTCTCTATAAGTTGCTTGTGTAGTCCTGCCTTAGCCTCCTGGCTGATTTAGGGGTTTTGTTTTTGTTTTTAGTCAGGATCTCCTCTAACTTAGTCTGGTCTGAAATTGCTATGAAGTAAAAAATGACCTTGAATTTCTGATTTTCCTGCTGGAATTACAGGTACTCATCACTATAATTATGCTTTGCCTTTTTTTTTTGAAGCTGTGTTCCACTCTGTAGCTCAGGCTTGTCTGGAACTTACTATGATCTTCTTGCCACAGCCTCCTAAGTAGCAGGATTATAGGCATGAGCCGCTATGCTTTGCACATATGTTGCACGTTTGCAACAACTCCAGTTTGCCCAGGTATACAAGGCAACACAGTTCAAGAGAGGCAGGCAATCATGAGATAGCTACCTAAACTCCACTTTGCACTATACACACCCATCCCCTCTGAAAATACACTTGGCAGCTTGAGACCCTTGCCTGTGTGTGCTCTGCACATCCACCCACTCCAAACAATGCACCTAGCAAGTTATTAGCAACCCACTTATATTCCACTAATGTATTTGAAAAATACTTGATTTATGACTTTCTTTTGTTCTATGACCATGAAAATTCATAGATCTTCCATGTTGGATCTTGTTATTTGGGACAACCTGAGTCTGTGTTCCAGGGCCACTGTCACAGAATAAACTCATTCTCTTTGAGGTGAGAGCTGTGTTTTGGGCCAACAAGAACATCTTTTTAATCTTTATTTTAAATTTTACTTAATTTTTGTTTTGTTTTGTTTTGTTTTGAGACAAGGAGTCTTCCTATAACCCCAGCTGGCCTGGAATTCATAATGTACACTAGGCTAGCCTCAATCTTACAGAGATTTGCCTGCCTTTTGCCTCCTGAGTGCCAGGATCAAAGGCATGTGCCACTAAGCCTGGTTTTAAAACATCTTTTAATTTAGTAAAATTTACTAGCTTCTGTTTTTTGTTTATTATTTCATCTTTTTTTGCTGTCCAAGCAATTTCTAACACCCCAAAAGCCAAAATAATTCAATTATTCAGTTAAATACCTGCTTCAAAACGATTTCCATCACATACTTTTGTAGAGACAACTCCAGGACAGGATCAGACTCCAGCATGCAAGCAAGCCTCAGGAAGTCTGGGAAGGCAGAAAGAAAGGGCAGCTCAGCAGTGCTAGAGACAGGGGCCTCCTTGCTCCTGTTCTCTGGTGCAGTGTTCCTTACAGGTCCTTCAGGAGACCGTGGGACACCTAATAGTCAGAAAGAACCAAAGGAAATCCAAAGCAAGATTCTTGCAGGTTGTGGCTTCCCAAAATTCACTTGCCTGTGACTCAGTTCCCAGATCTGACTTGTCAATATGCTTTGTAACCTGGGAAGCTTTTCACTTGTGGATTGGATTTCGAATTTTGCACTCTAGGCTTCTTAGTTGTTCACTATAGTCATATGAAGTTCAAGATGAATCAAAGAGTTTGGAAAGAATTTAACAGAGAAGACTAGAAAGTTGAGGACAGATCTCTGACATCGCCAGCATTAAAGGAATAGGAGAGAAACTAGCAAAGGGTGCTGAAAACGGGTGACAAAACTAAAAGTAGTGCAATTTGAGCCCAAGGAAAACAGAGAACACACTGTCCAAGGAAAAATTAACCAAGTCAGGTGTTGTGGACATGCCTTCCTGTGCAGCTAGAAGCTGAGGCAGGAAGATTGCTTTAGCCTAAGCAAAGGAGTTCAAGATCAGCCTGGGAAACATAGCAAGAGCCCACCTCAAGAACATAACAGAAGTACATACCAAAGGCGTGGTGGCACATGCCTTTGATCCCAGCACTCTGGAGGCAGAGGCAGGCAGATCCTCTGTGAGTTCAAGGCCAGCCTGGTCTACAGAGTGAGTTCTAGGCAGCTGGAGCTACAGGGAGACCCTGTCTCAAAAAGACCAAAAAAAAAAAAGTACATACCATTACATACACAAGAACCATACATAAAAGCAAATATACCACTCTGACCCACAGGCCTCTCTCTGGGGTAAGTCCATCACGCCCTCTGCACCTTGACTCCCACAGCCTCATTCACCCTCCCATCTCCCAAGCCTGAACTCCTCCTAGTTTGGGTCCTGTCCCATTCCTTGTCTTGGGGCCCCAGACACCTGGGGAACCACTACTGCTTCCTGATCCTCTTCATCCAGACCAACTCAGTGCCTTCTCTGGTCCCCAGGAGCACTGCTTCTGGCCTGGCCCCTCCCTCACCTCCCTCTGCTTCCCTGGGCCTGGACCACACTCCAGCCTCTTTCCTGGACACTGGGGCTGACCTTTCCTCTTCCTGATCCTTTGCATCCAGACTAACCCAGCTCCTCAGTGCAGTCCCAAGGAGTCCTTGGGGCTGCTTCCCACCCCCATCTGCCTTTGCATCTCTGAGTAGCACATCCACCAGCTTCCCTAGACCAGCATCTTTCCTGGACCAGGCTCCCAGGCCAGACCAACCCCAAATTCCAGAAGCCAAAATCTTTCCTGGAGCGATCCAGACCTTAGGAGAAAGCCTGAGAGCATCTGATCCTCATCTGACTTGGGCCTCTGTGG